AAAAAAAAAAAAAAGAAGAAAAGCCCTTCCCCTAACAAAGGCAAATTCACCACCAATGTTCTTACCCCATAGTGGCCAGGCCTTCTAAAGCCTGGAACTCCACTTCTATTGGGCCAAGGGAAGAGAGAACAGCACATTTCCAACATGGTGATTCAGTCCTTGACTAACAACTGGTCACCCTAAATGCTGGTCCATCAACTTTGGTCTTTTCTCTCCCTATAGCCCCAGGGAGACCTCATGCATCCTCCAGGCAATGCTCAGTAACGCATACCAGGACACCTAGATGAAAAGGCAACTGCACACAGGTAATCCCCACTAACTCTGAGAGGCTGAGGCAGGAGAATCAAAAGTTTAAGCACAGCCTAGGCAACATGGCGACTCTGTCTCAAAATAAAACATAAAAAGGGATGGGGATATAGTAGAATGCAAAGGTCTTGGACTCAGTCCCCAGTACCACGAAAAACAACAAAAAAGAGTTTTCACAGGCCAGGGAAATAGCTTAGTCGCACAAGCACCTACATGGCAAGTGCAAGATCCTGAGTTCAATTCCCAGTACAAAAAAAAAAAAGTTTCATACCCATCTTCTGACCTCCCAGCCTAGTGAGCACTGAAGAATCAGCCTACAGTCTAGCTCCTTTCTTCTGTGCACACCTGAAAGGTATCTTTTCTCAGGCTGGCTGTACCCTTCAGAGAGCACTTCTGAGATCTGCCCTGAACACATTAAGTACCATCCAAACCATCTGAGAACCTTGAGAGCAAAGCTGTATATGGTGCAATCCCTCTTCCCACAACTTGCAGCACAGCAGTGTAGAACTGTGAGCTCTGAAGCCTGGCACTGTGCTGTTAAACTGTGCGACCGTGTGAATTCACCCAAGTGACTGAGCTCACTGTATCAGGAAGCACTGTGAAGGCGGGTGTGGTGGTGCACACCTGTAATCCCAGCACTTGGGAGGCTGAGACAGGAGGATCGCTGTGAGTTCAAGGCCCTCCCGTGCTACAAAGTGAGTTCAAAGCCATCCTGAACATCATAGTGAAACCCTGTCTCAAAAAGGCCAAAAAAAAAAAAAAAAGCTGTGATGAGCTTGGTGTGGCAGCACAACCTTGCAACTCAGCACCTGGGAGAGGGGGTTTGAGGCCAGCCTGGGCTGGGCTAACATAGTTCAGATGACCAGTCCAAACTACAAAGCAAGACTCTGTCTCAAAATAGCAGTGATGATACCACTACATACCTAGTTCATAAGGTTGTTTTCTAAGAACTTAAGGAATATATATCAACTTATGAATACAGTATCAGGGCATAGAAATTACTCGAATATTCACTAAAAGAGAGTGCCTGTTACAGCTGGTGTGCTCAAGCTCACAGGCTGGGGAGACAAAGCACAGTGGTAAAGGGAGGGAGGGACCAACATTTAGGCTGACCCAGAAATGAGAATGGTCAATGTATGGCATTACTGTTTCAGAGTAGGCAGGCAATAAGAGAAAAATAAAGGAAGACATCAA